CCAGAGAAGATATGTGGGTTAGCTTAAGGTCCATAGAAAGTTGAAGATTCCATTGTTTAATTAGGAATGTTAAGAAAAGTACATTTTCACTGGGTGTGGAGGTATACCCTTTAATTCCAGCACTCTGGAGGCCAAGATAGGCAGATGTCTGTGAGATCAAGGCCTGCCCTGGTCTCCATAGTGAGTTCTAGGACAGTTGGGGCAACAGGGAGACCAGGTCTCAAAAAAGAAAGGAAAGAAAGAAAGAAAGAAAGAAAGAAAGAAAGGAAAGAAAGTAAGAAAGAAAGAAGAAAAGAAAATACATTATATGAAATAATACTTTAGTAAATTATATTTGCAACTCAGATGTTAAAAAGAGTGCTATAAATCTGCAAACGGTGATATAATGATTTGTTTTGGAACCTAAGACAACCTAAATCATCACAATTTTAGTATTTAGGTAAATAATGAATAAAAAGCAAAAAAAAAAAACCCACAAACAGATTAAAGTTGCTAAGTAATACCCTTATTAAATGACAGGTTAAGGGGCTGGAGAGATGGCTCAGTGGTTAATAGCACTGGCTGCTCTTGCAGAGGACCCAGGTTTGAATCCCAGCACTCACATGACAGCTAACAATCATCCATAATTTTAGTTCCAGAGGATCTGACACCCACCTCTGATCTCCTCGGGCATTGCCCGACAGAGGTACACTTACATATATGCAGGCACTACATGCATACACATAAAATTTTTAAAAACTGTAAAGAGGAATTTCTGATACGTCATCAAAAAAAGAACTTTAATTTCTCCTTCTAGTAGTGAATGTATTGGTACATTTACCAAATAAAAGAATAGCTAAAGAGCCCATTATGACGACGACAATGATGATGATAAAGTTATAAAGTTCTCTTCTAAGGAGACTGGTGGCCTTCACTGTATAAACCAAAATGGAAGTCTGATTTGAGTAAGCAATCCACTGCAGATGCAGAGAATATGGAAGTCAGTACTCGCAGCAAAAGACTCATGAAGAAATGAGTGTTGATGAGAAAGAAGGACAGAAACTACTCACGCAGTGTAGGGCAGATTCTTATCCATGGCAAGAAGCTAAAAACATCCTTGATTCCTTCCTAGCCTGAGACTCGGAATGCCAGAGGGGCTCTAGTTCCGGCTCTGTTCCAGTAACTTTCTCCTTTTGCACCACCTAGAGGAGCGCTGGGCGAGGACATGACCAAAACTGAGAGGCACCTGGATCTCAAGAGTGGGCCACACGGACTGGAAGAATATGACCAGTCTGAGCAATTCACTTCCCCTTGCCTCCATCCAGTTTCTGCCATAAGTCCTTTAAAACTTCCCTGGACCAGCAGCTCTGTGGTACCCCATTTCTGGGGTACATGATAGCCAAGAACAACTCTGTCTTTCTTTCTCTTAGGCTCCTACCTATAATCCTGTAATAAAACTACTTTCTAAATTTACCCTCCCATTTTCCATAAAATTAATTCTTTCGAGTTCATTAGGCAAGAACCCTGGGCCACTGACTCAGAAGTTTTGTGTGACTGTGAGTTTCTGGAACCCTAACTCCTGGTTTAAGGCCATCTGAGGCTAGGAATCCTCTGTTGCACCAGAGGACCCCCCTTTTTGCATTCACAGACCCCACTTTTCGAGTATGAGTATGATCTACAAAACAATCCAGTGTGGCAACTAACAACTGTCTGTAACTCCAGTTCCAGGGGATCCAACAGCCTCTTCTATCCTCCATATAATTAAAAAGTCCTTCAGGTACTGGAGAGATGGCTCAGCAGTTAAGCACACTGACTGTGCTTGCAGAAGACCTGGGTTCGAATCCCAGCAAACACATGGCAGCTAACAACTGTCCATAACTCCAGTTCCAGGGGATCCGACAGCTTCTTCTGTCCTCCGTGGGCACTGTACCACATGGGTGCACTTACCTACATATAGGCAATACACACAAACACATAAAAATAATAAATAAAATAATTTTTTTTAAAGATTCTTTCCTGTTCCTATAGCAGAGATTTGGTTGAGGCTTTTGAGTTATGGCAGGAAAGTTACCAGTTTTTTCAAATGAGTCTACTAGGTATTATAAGCATTTTAACCAACTGTACTATCTGTTGAACTAAATTAATTCCTTGATTAGTCTAATAGCCTCCTAAGAGTTAGTATTTGTGAAGGTTAAATGTAATTACTAATCAATTATATCTTTATTATTTCATGACTATTGTTCTTTCTCATTAGACAGAGGGTTCTTTTAAAGTTAGAGCTTCAGCACAAGCTGGGCATGGTGGCACAGGCCTTTAATCCCAACACTCTGGAGGCAGAGGCAGGTGGATCTCTGAGTTCGAGGCCAGCCTGGTCTACATAGTGAGTTCCAGGACATTTTTTAGGGAATTTTTTTCAAAAAAAAAAAAAAAAAAAAAAAAAAAAAAAGAGCTTCAGCATAAAGATAATCGATTTGTATTTTCTGTTTAAAAAAATTATTAAATAATAAATTTTTTTAAAAAGTTTGAAGGCACTGGAGAGATGGCTCAGCAGTTAAGAACACTTGTTGTTCTTGCAGAAGATCCCAAGTTCGAATCCCAGCACCCACATGGCAGCTAAGAACTGTCTGTAACTCCAGTCCCAGGGGATCCAACAGCCTCTTCTGACCCCAATGGGCATTGCACGACACAGGTGCACTTACCCACATGCACTTAATACACGCATACACATAAAATAATAAAATTTAAAAATTTATTACTTTTACTTTGTGTGTGTGTGTGTGTGTGTGTGTGTGTGTGTGTGTGTGTGTGTGTTGCCTGCATGTATGTGAGTGCACCCATGTCATGCAGTGCTTCGGAGGCCAGATAGATTCCCATAGAACTGGAATTAAGGACAGTTGAACCCGGGTCCTCTGCAAGAGCAGTCAGTGCTCTTAGCTGCTGAGCCATCTCTCCAGTCCCTTATATTTTCTCTTTTAAAAGAAAAGCTATGTAGTAAAGATCTTAATATGCTATACAAGGATTAAGAGAATTAAATGCCTTCTGACATCCATTGTCCAAAATGAATTAACTTGTCTCCTTTGCAACTAAAATATAGCCCTTGATGAAATAAATCATCACCTGTATTACTCTGTCCTAAGCAGCTTTAAAGCCTTCTGCTTGCAAATGGTTCTCTCTTATATAGCATACTTTATACATCTCTGAAGTTTCTGTTGCCTTTGCACAAAAGTTCAATATAATAAAAAACATTAGTGTCTGTATTAGTCAGGGTTCTCCAAAGAAACAGAACTGGTAGAATGAATATATATGTATAGAGATTTATCAGCTTAGTTCACAGGATAGAGTCGGAGTAGTCCAACAATGGCTGCACCAAACAGAAGAGGCTGAGAATCAGTAGCCACTCAGTCCACGAGGCTGGATGTCTCAGAAGTCCCAATCTGGCCCTGAAGGTCTGACGAATTCCAAAAGATCAGCTAGTCTTCAGTCTACAGCAACAAGAGGAACTCACCAGAGAGAGAGAGAAGGCAAGCAGCAAGAGGCCAGGCATTCTCCTCTGCCTTGGCCTTTTATAAGGGCTGTCATCAGAAGGTAACACCCACATTTAGGGTATGTCTTCCAGCTTCAGATGATCCAATTAAGAAGATCTCTCTCATTTCAGTTAATCCCAGATTCAGTCAAGTTGACACCCAGGGTTAGCCACCACAGTGTCCATTAACTCCAGTCCTAGGGAATCTGACAGTCTCTTCTGACCTCCCCGGGCATTGCACAACACGATTGCACTTACCTACATGCAGGCAATACATGCATACACATAAAATAAAAATAATAAATAAAATTTTTTTAAAGTTTTAAAAAAAAGTGTCATTTGGCAAAGTGATCCTTAACGATCTATTAAATTTTCTTTTAAAGGTTTATTTTTTTATGTCTAAATGCCTGCATTATGTACGTGAATCACGTGCATGACTGGTGCCCTCAGAAGCCAGAAGGGGGAGTCAGATCCCAGGAACTGGGGTTACAGATAGTTGTGAGCTGCCATCTGGGTGCTGGGAACCAAACCCTGGACTTTAAAGAGCAGTAAGAGTTCTGAACTGCTGAGCCATCTCTCCAACCTGATAAGGACATTTAAAAACAAACCTTGACTCTGTTGACATAATTTCCCAATTAAAAACTCAGTGAATAACTATACGTAGTTATCTTGACTTTTTAAAAAAGTTGGTCTTTAAG